AAAAATGGCACATGATAAGATGTTCTGCAATATGTATATTCAATGTTGGTATTTATGAAGTATAAAACTGTCCAAAATCAATTTGATGTACACATACCATGCATCAATTCAATGATGAATTATGTAGAAACCAAAGTACATCTATGACAAAGAACAGGTCCTAAGAGAGAAGCTTAATTACAAAAGAGCTTTACATTAGAACAACCCCTACCATTTAGCTTAGTCAGCAAAAAGTTCCCCTGAGAAGTTTCGCCAATTGTTTCTTGAGCAAGAACAAGAAAATAATCGTGCAACTTCTAATACAAACTCTTTTGTATAATAATCTAAATATCTTCATTTGCAACCATCGACAACTGGAAAAGAAGACTATCTACAGTACTTATACACAGTTAATAATCTCAATATCCTCATTGCTCAACTCTTTTGTATAAATGGGTAGAGTATCATTGCTAATTGCACATGCCAAACCACTCATGAATATTCAAGGTATAGCAAGTTGTTGCATAATATTCAAGGTAGAGTATCACTGCTAATTGCACATGCCAAACCACTAATGAATATTTGTTATAACTAAAAGCAGCACTAAAGCTGGAGAGTTGAAATTTGAACTAAAAGCAGCACTAAAGCTGGAGAGTTGAAATTTGAACTAAAAGCAGCACTAAAGCTGGAGAGTTGAAATTTGAACTAAAGCTGGAGAGTTAAAATATTCTTCATGAAATTTGCTAAAATTTTAAGATCTATTCCCTCACAATTAACCAAAATACGTCATCAGGATGGATAATGGGTCTTGTCGGCGTCGAATCAAAGGGATTAAGGGAGAGATCGAGAGAGAAGGTTTGAGTTATTACCTACGTCGACGTCGTTATCGAGAGAGGAAGAAGTAATGGGTCTTGTCGACGTCGAGAGAGGGAGGAGGGAGGGCCAAATCACGACGTTGGCGACGGCGTCGACAACGGGAGGGAGCTTGTTCGACGGGGGGAGAGGGAGAGTGGGAATTTGGGCAGAGAGAATGGGTATTGTCGGCGTCGAGAGAGGGAGGAGGGAACGCCAAATCACGACGCTGGCGACGGCGTCGACAGCGGGAGGGAGCTTGTTCGACGGGGGGAGAGGGAGAGAGATCAGGGGGGTGGGGTGGAGTGGGAGTGGGAATGGAGAGATGAAAGAGATCATGGGACGTGGGTTGGTGGTGAGAATTTTGGTGAGAGAGAAGAGATCACGAGTAGGCGGTGTGTTGGTGACAGCTTATCAGAGCTGGTCCACGCTAATCTCAACACAATGCGCTATTTGCAAAAATGATCCTCAAAATTGATTACACGCATTGAAATCAGAATCTAGTCGCGCGTGCTGACTGAAGCATTCTGGCCATATTTAGCCCTCCATAGGAGCAAACTCCATTCCTATGTCAATGACCTCCATATAATCTTCTCTCTCTCTATATATATTAAAATGTGTTGATCATGTGTGTGTGTGTTCGTGTATATATATATATATATATGATATATAAGTATATATATATATATATATATATATATATATATATAATATATATATATATTAGAGAGAGAGAGAGAGGAGAGGGGAGAGAGAGACAGAGATGAGAGAGAGAGAGCATGAGTTAATGCTCGGCTACCAAGCAACAAAAAATAATGCTTGGTAGTGAGTTGTCACTTTCTCATCCACTCATTGAAATCGGGCCCCACACTCACATGGGTTGGGGAGTGGTTGGTAATTATAATGAGTGAATGGGAAAGTGACACCTCACTACCAAGCACCAAATTTGTGCTTGGTACCAAGCATACCCATATTTCTCATATATATATATATGTGTGTGTGTGTGTGTGTGTATAGATGTATATACATATACATCTACACACACACACACACACACACAACACACACACACACACACACACACACACATATATATATATATATATGTCAATGTTTTAAATGTCGGATGTCGGGTTCATGTCGGACGGCTGAAATCCATGTCGGATAGCTGAAATCGGGGATATATCGGGGGACATGGACTAAATATCGGATTGCCATATCGGGTGGTGCGCATATATATAATATCATGTTCTAAATGTAATCTAAGCCTTTCTAAATTCAATATAAGCATACTTTATAAATTTTAGAGGCGACGTCGGTGATGGGTGGATTCCGACGTCACAGGGAGGCAGTGCCGGCGACGAGACGTCGCAGGGAGGTAGTGTCGGGGCTCTTCTTCTTCTTCATCTGCTCAGGATCCTTCGGATGAGTCACCGACCACCCTCTTCCCTTTATCCCAACGACGGGATACCCTGCTGTCCTCGGGTTCGATTGGGGTTCGGATTTCAAGGCGCAACGGGAGATGGATGACAGGGGTCCGAAATGGAGGTGGGAAAGGGTGTCGTCGTCCACGAAAGGAGTGATTGGTTTTCAAGTCCGCTGTAGCCCTAAATTTTCTCTTTTCTTTCTATCGGGTTCATAAGAAACCCTTAAACATGAGAAGGGTCAAACAGGTTTGAGTTTTTATCACTAAACCCAAACCCGATAACAAAAGACAGATCTAAAAAAAAGTCCATATCGGTCGATTTTTCAAGGCTGAAAAATAGTCTGACATGCCCAATATGATCCCGATATTTTCGATTTGGCCCTGAAAACCAACATACGAGTTGAGAACGCTCATGTCGTGTCGCTCAAGCTCTCAAACCGACATGTCGACCGACACGTCGGATATATCGGCCGACATTTATATATATATATATATACACACACATATGTACATATGTATATATATACATATGTACATATGTATATATATATATGGAGAGAGAGAGAGAGAGAGAGAGAGAGAGAGAAATATGAAGAACCTTGGTACCAAGTTTTTTCATTGAACTTGGTAGTCAGGTGGCCAAATCTGCCCCCTACATCACACCTCGAAGATGGAGCATTTTTTTGGAGTAGGTGAATAATCATTGGGGTTCTATTTTCGAGGCATAATGTAGGGGCTAGATCTGATCGCGTCACGACCTTCAATGGAGAAACTTGGTACCAAGGTTCTCCGTATTTCCCATACACACACACACACATACACACACACACACATGGGTACGGTTACAATACACCTAATGTAACTTAGTTGCACCTACCTGTAAAAATACATATTTGACCATCGATATTAATGATCCACACTGTTCATTGTGATATATGCATTCAAGACTTCGTGAAGATTAAAACTCACATTGATTAAATGTTTCTAGTTTATGCATCTAAAGACCTAAAAATGAATGGCCTGTATCAGTCTCAGTTATCACTTATATTGAAGTGCGTGATTTATAAGATAGAAAATTTCAAACCACATGATTTTGGATTCATTTAGATATGATGACATGTAGATAACAATAAACGGGTTGGATTATAGATGGTCGGACATGTATTTTTACATGTGAGTGTAACTAAATTAGTTACACCCTAGGTGTATTGTAACTCTACCCTACACACGTGTGTGGGTGTGGGTGTGTCTGGGGGTGTGGGTGTGTGCGTGCGCATTTGCGGAAAGGTTAAACTCTTTGATTCTGTTAGCAACTTGCAATAAAATCATTATTTAAGTTCTGATAAACATAATTGCAGACCTTGAAATGGCTACAATCTACCTTTAATTGTGGCTCATTCACATGAATCACATCTATTACGCCACAATAATCTAAACATGAGAATCGGGTAGGATTGTCCTATCCTAGGCTGTTTCTATCCAAGTATCTGAAAATCTATATTCTAGATGGTGTCAATTGTGTGAGGTTTGGTGCCTTAATCACTAGATTCACCACAGTGAAACTTAGATTGAATTTGCAGTTCAACACAGGCTATTGCTACTAAAATGTACAGTTATTGACTCTGACAAATTTTTGATGTCTGGTTGAGGTGATCCTTGATTCCTTATTGTCCTTCAGCAGCTCAGAACCTCGTAAGTGTAGACAACAACCTTAAAACTATTTTATTGAACAAATTCAGTTCCTTATTAGAACTTTTAAGTTTTACTTGTCAGTGAACTAGTATTACTTAGATCTAACATCCAACCTTATTATGTGGGGTTACACTGCACAAAATAGAGGTGTATGGGCACAACACATGAGGAGTGTATGTAATCATATGGTGAGTTAATAATAAAGAATGATGCCGAGTAGGCTAAAGTAAGGATGTGCATATAAACATAAAATAAGCACTATACAATACCTTCGGCACTTGTATATTACATGCACGCAACTTCATCTTTAAATAAAGGCTAAATCGCACTAAAATACCTTATGTTTCACTAATTTATCACTTATATAACCTCAGTTGGTTTTCGGAGCATTTATATACCCTGAGTTGTTTTAAATTAGCACTTTAGTACCATCCGTTGTGCAAACGTGAAAATTTTCAGCTGAAAGTTCTCCGATAACATTCATATGCTAATTTTATAACTTTCTAATCATTAAATCTACTGAACTTATTGTTATATCTATCCAAATTTTATTTTTCAAATAGAATCAGAAAATATTTAAATTATAGTTAGGGTAAGATTAATAGTAAATTTAACAAATATGACTAAAAACTCTAAAATTAATATGTGAAGGTTATATGGGAACTTTTGCGTGAATTTTTTTATGTTCGCGTAGCAGATGGTACTCAAATGCTAATTTTAAACAACTCATGGTATATAAATGCTCTGAACAACAACTGAGGGTATATAAGTACTAAATGAGTGAAACATAAGGTGTTTAGTGCAATTTAGCCTTAAATAAATGGACGGACAAGATGCACGAACTATACACACACACACAACTTATACACACACACACAGACTTATACACACACACACAGACACGTGTGCGTGCGCATTTCTATGAAATCATAATTTCACTTGTGGTTAACTATGCAGCTGCTACTATTCTTGGAAATTTAGGCTTCTTATCTCACAGGTATTTTTGGGCAAGTTCAGTATCTTACAGTGTTTTCCTCTTGAATATTTACAGGTATTGTGCAAGGGTAAAATCTCTATTCGAAGAAACAAAGAAGCCTTTTGCTGTCATTGACCTGGATGAGAGGGGTCTGTTTCTAATACCCTCAGTTAGATGCTTTTATTGGTTCCACCACCCCTGTTCATAAACATAGACACTAGCTCCCAGTTTTCTCTTTTTTCTAATCAATAAAGAAAAATTCAATAATATGTGCTGACTCAACCTATTGTATTTCAACTCTATCGCTTACATTCGTCCCACATCTTTGGTATGTTTTCTGTCATTGATTACCCTTGGGCATTAGAAGCATTTTAGCTTTCAATTACCAACTGATGCTGTAGAAGGGTACACTATACTTTTCATTCGTTAATTTACACTTTTGATTTGAAAAAGTTGTACCTTATAACCTCATAAAGTGCATTTCAAGAAAATATCTGACAAGTACTTCAAGAGTTCCATATGTTTTGCGATTCTCCCAGACTAAGCACATATAAACTGAAGAAAGATTCAACAATTTTGAGATTATCACCCTCTCTTTACTATTTGACGGTAGCCTTGTATCTTCAGAAGATGGAGAGGATATACAAAATGCCTTGGCCAAATTAGTTGGAAGGTGGACCGTACCTCAAGTTTTCATCAAGGGAGAGCACATTGGTGGTTGCGATGGTAACATTCACCTCTATGTTGTTCTTCTCTGTGTTTTTTATTATTCCTTCAATACTCTATGGATTAATGTTTTGTGGTGCAATGCTAGATACCGTGGGGGCTTATCGAAGTGGAAAGCTGAAAAAGCTTTTGGCTGAGATTGACTAAGGAAGCTTTGTTTCATTTCATATGCGTCATGCATGTTTAAACTTTTTTTTTCCTCATCTTTGGTGGATTTCGTCTTGTGGATGAACATGACATGCTACATGCCTCTTCTGACTCATAACAAACTTTTGTTAGAGTGTGATGTGCAAGTACTGGAGCTGGGGCAATTTTCAATGAAATGTTTTTTGGTGATGAGAGCATGTCTTAACTGATGATTTTTTTTTAATTTTTTTATTTTTATTTTGTTAAAGGAGAACATCCATAAACTGGTTCATCAATCATTAATGAGCAAAAAGGGGCAGTTACTTCTTGTGCTGTGTTTGTTTAGTATGTTTTTTTTTCTGGGAGAAAAAAGACCATGAAGTGTCCTGACCTTCAAATTCTAAGCTTGGAATATGTCTCATATTGTTCACTGAGCATTTTCATATCTGATGGTTACATGGTCTCTATTAACTTTTAGCGGCTGCTATAACTGGCAATTAATTGAATGAGTCTATACAAGCACTATCTAGGAGAAAATTGGCAGATCTCTGCATTTGGATACTGTTCAACTATTGAATTTCATAATCATATTTGCTAAATATGAAGAATTCAGTTAATATTATATTAATCAATATTCATAGGAAAATATGTAGAAGTTGAGATAGAATGGCTTAGATGAGAAAATATCTAGTGGAGACAATTCATAGCATTCGATGTGCACCAAATGGATGTCAACCACTGGACATATGTATAAATCCCGAAATTCAATGATCCAAGGGTTGACATCTCTTTTGTGCACATTTAATATTGAAAGAACTCGAAAATATTTCATATAATGTTTTACACAATCACATATTCACATCACACTCTTAACTCCTCATTCTCTCAGATTAAATAATGGCCTGTTTGGTTGGCTTAAAAGAGAAGAAATTGCATTATAAGAAACCTATTTCATATAATGTTTTGCTTTCCTTTGTTTAGTTACCACATTGAGACCAAGAGGAAAGGTGATGTTGCACCCTTCTTGGTTGATTTGACCTTTGTTTTACGAAATCCATTCCCGGACTTTTTGGCAGGGAATCACTTATAATATTTTCCTAGGGTTTCATTTTCACATTTCCTCTTTTTTGAAGTTTGGAGAAATCAACCAAACGGCGCCTAAGCCCTTTGGTTTGTCTTAAGTTACTAATAAGCCCACAAACTATTATTTTCATTTTAGTAAGTCCTCATGTCTTCTAGTTTGATCCTATTTAGCCACCACGGAATGAAAGCTTAAATCTTCATCTCACACGAACATAAAACAACGGGTACAAGAGCTAGTTATCCAACGGCAAGCACACCAACAAGAGAGAAAAAAAATTCTAATAATCAAACAACATTAGTCAATGCGAAGGAAATAAGAAGAACAATTTCCCCCTAGACCCTAGTTAACTTCCCCAAGTCTCGATCGAGGATGGTAATCATCTCACACGAGTTGCATTTGACTATTTTGGCTATATTCCAAGTTTACCCCTGCTGAAATTTTTAATTTCGGTGGTGATTAGAGTACTATCGAACCATCACAGGAGCTAAATAGAATCAAAATGAAAAGGGATTTTTTTAAAATAGACAATTTTTATTAAATATTTAGCAAAATAAATCTCCTTTTGTCCAATAGACCAAAAAGAGGTCGATTTTAAAAAATAAGGCTCAGAAAACATACGGGACTACTAGTCCCGTATGTTTTCTGAGCCTTGTTTTTCAAAATGACGGTGATTAAGTTGACTCTAAACATACGAGACTAGTAGTCCCGTATGTTTTCTGAGCCCTGTTTTTCAAAATCGATATTTTTTTAGACAATTGGCCAAAAAGAGATTTATTTTGCTAAATATTTAGCAAAGTGGTCTATTTTGCTAAATATTTAGCAAAAATAGTCTATTTTAAAAAATTCCCCAAATGAAAATCATGAAGGCTTATTAGTATGGAAAAATAGTCCGAGGGCTTAATCATTATAGAAACTTTAAGACAAAAGGGTTTATCTGGATAGAAGTTCGCTAGTAAGCATCCTATCAGAACCAATAAAATTACCAAACTAGCCCCTTCCCCTCTCTGTCGATGCGCTCCTCATCGCTCGCTCACAGGAGACCAAACCTCAAACCCCAAAACCCTAAACCTCGATACTCAGAGATTAGAACACAAGCCTTGAGACATGGAGGAGGAGGGAAACCTCAGCAGCGGAGGCAAGAGGAGAAGGACGGAGAAGGAGCCATGTCCTCCTCCTCCTCCTCTTCATCTCCCTCTCGATCCCAACGACATCACCTCCTTCGATCGAGCCGCGTTCCCTCAGATTCTTGCGGCCGCCATCAGCACCCGAAACCCTAGCGCTCGATCCCTCGTCAAGCGCTCTCTCCGCTCTCTCGCTAAAACCCCCCCTCTCCTCTTCCCCCGTTCCTTTCTCTCTCTCCTCCCCCTCCTCCTCGCTTCCAAGTAAAAAACCCCCCTCCCCCTCCTCTCTCTTTCTCTCTATTGCTTTCTGTTCATTCTAATGGCCTTTAATTCTTTTATTACAGGCACCCCTCTGTTGCTCGTTTGAGCTTGGAGGTGATTGGGGCGGCCGCTCTCTGCTCTTTCGAGTCGAATGCGAGGATAGCCTCGGATGAAGCTACCGTGAAGGGATTGGTCTGGGCACTGGGGAGCAGAAGCCGACGCGTGGC